GGTTGCGATCCGTTGCCGGACATGGAAAAAGACAAAAGACAAAAAAAAAAAAAAAAAATTATTATCTAATTCAAAGCTGATATTTTATTTTTGTGTCCTTGATCTTGTGATCTTTTCAGTAGTTTGTCATCTCACATACCACAAAATCTATCATAAGGTCTTCTTAAAGGTAAAAAATATGTGTGGAAGGTTTTCTGTTGTTGCTGTTTTTTCTTGTTTGTTATTAGAAATTCAACATAAATTTATACCAGCCCAATTATTTTTAATTTGTGACATTTTTCTGAATTTAAAGAAATATGTGAATATCAAATGTTGGCAGTACTATAGATAATACTTTCTCAAACTACTTCATTAATAAAGCCTCAGTTTTAAGAAACTAAAGAATATGTTTAACTCTGATTAATGTGAAAAAGATTAAATATTCGATTTAAATTTGTAGCAAATTTTACTTAAAAAATTTATTTATTTCTGGCGAGCAAGATTCTGTTGAACTTAATCAATTAGAACCATTTTCCAGTTGTGAATTCTTTACTTTGTTAACTCCTGTAAATTTGTTTTGTTCTTAAAGCGTGATTGGAAGTATCTGCTGGACTACAGTAAATCCCAATAATTCTTAAGCAATAAGTTGTGTGCTTTTCACTTTTGAGGCCAGAATTGTGGGTCCCTGTATCTTAGAAGCTGATCACTCCACTCTGTTTTCCTAGAAAATAATTGGATCACATAGTACTCTATTTTAAACTTATTTATTTTGGAAAGTTATTCAACTTAAAAAGAGAAAAGACTGTGCCAGACTGTGATATTAAATCTTGTACATTTGTTTATTAAATGTTGTACTTTTAGGAAACACCAAGTGATGTACTTGTAACTAAATTATCTGTCCAGAACTAATTTCCTTCTAATGTGATAGATTCGATGTAATTATCTTGATGTTTTCTAATGTTTCTGTCATTGCTTCATACATAGCCTAGAGAACCTGACGGTCAAGAACCCAGAGGTGCAGAACGATGTGCAGAGCCCCTGGCAAACGATACATGTGACCTCTGCAGTGACTTCAGTGATGATGAATCAGTGGGAGCCTCAGGAATAAAGGCTGCTAGACACAAAGTGTCCGAGTCAAGTAAAGCCGCAGGCTCTCCAGGACAGCTTACCTTACTCCAGTGTGGTTTCTCTAAATTGTTTGAGACAAAATATA